ATAATATTCCATTGTATATATATACCACCTCTTCTTTATCCATTCATCTGTCGATGGACATCTTGGCTCTTTCCACAGTTTGGCTATTGTGGACATTGCTACTATAAACATCAGGGTGCACGTATCCCTTTGGATCCCTACATTTGTATCTTTGGGCTAAATATGCAGTAGTGCAATTGCTGGATCGTGTGGTAGCTCTATCAAAAATGGATTCTTAATGTATATTCTCACCAGCAGTATATAAAAGTTCCCATTTCCTTGTATCTTTACAAACCTTATCTCATTAGACTTTGTTTTTTTTTTAATTTTGTCAGTCTGACAGATGTGAATGAAATAGTTTATCATTATGGCTCAAATTATTTGTCCTGATTATTTGTGAGTTTGAGCACTTTTTTTCAAATACTTATTGACCATGTTCAGGTTTCCTCTTTATGGGTTGCCTGTTCATATCCTTTGCTCATTTTTTTCTGAGTTGTCTTTTTCTTATTGACATGTGGGAGTTCTTTATTTCAAATATTAATCTTTTGTCAGCTGTATGGATTGCAAATATCATCTCCCGGTCTTCTAAATTTGTGGCAGATTTTATCACCCAGAAGTTCTTCAATTTTGGATAATTTGGTCAAATACTTTCAATCAATTCATTTTTGTGTTTAATGTCTTATCATAAAAGATCCATTACTAGGGACGCCTGGGTGGCTCAGTCGGTTAAGTGGCTGACTTGTGATTTTGGCTCAGGTCATGATCTCATGGGTTATGAGATTGAGCCCCATGTCAGGCTCCACGGTCAGTGGGGAGTCTGCTTGAGATCTCTTCCTCTGCCTCTCTCCCCACTCGCTCTCTCACTTTCTCTCTCTCTCAAATAAATCTCAAATAAATCTTTATTAAAAAAAAAAGATCCATTACTACCTTGGGTTGACTATGATATCCTTCTGTATTTTCTTATATTAGTGTTAAAATTGTGTTATTTTATGCATAAGTCTTTAATACATTCTGGAATTTATTTGTGTCTGGTGTGAGAAAGCAACCTAAATTTATTTTGTTTAAGATGGAGAACCGGTTATTGTAGCACTATTTGTTAATTAGTCCATCCTTTCTCCACGGCAGTGTGATGTCTCCTCTATCTTATACAGAGTGCTGAAATGAGCCCAACATGTTTTACTGTTTATCTGTTCCTGCAGCAACACCACACTGTTTTAATTACCGTGGCATTATGATATACCCTGATGTATAGCAGGACAAGTTCCCCTCTCTTGTTCTTCTTTCACAGAATTATTTTTGTTATTTTTTAATATTTGCTCTTCCATCTGTGTTTTAGAATCAATTTGTTCTGTTCCACAAACATAATGTGTGGTATTTTTATTTCAATTGCATGGAATATATAGGTTAATACAGAGAAATTAATATAGAAATGAATTTTTAGTTTTCCCATCCCTGACATGGTATATTAATATCTGGACACCTTTTACTCAGGTTTCCTTTTTGTATCTTTTAATATAATTTTCCCTACAAATCACGCATTTTTATAAGATTAGTCGTCTGTTATCTCATTGTCTTTGTGGCCATTAGAAGTATTGTATTTCCTGATTAATTATTGCTGGGTTATTAGAACTTTCTTGATTTGGCATGTTGATCTTGGATCCAGCAACCTTGCTAAACTTCTTAGTTTTTAACAGTTTATAGATGCTCCTGCATTTTCTATGTGGACCACCATATTTTCTGTACATAATGATGTTTTAATCTCTTCTTTTCCTGTCACTATGACTTGTATTTCTTTTTCTTATTTATTACATTGGCTGGGACCCCTGTTCACTGTTGGGTAGTAGCAGTGATACTGGGCATCCTCATCTGTGGGTTGTGTTTATTAGTGTATGCATATATACACTATATATGTATATATATAAGTGTATAATGAATTCTCCCACTGCATCCATTTTCACCTTTTTTCCCATGACATTCCCATTAAGCATTTGCAGTATGGCTAGCCAAGGTTAAGGTAGGGAGTGTGGCCATGTAATGAAATTAAGTTATCATATTAGTAAGAGGACCCACGCTTTACTTCATTTGAACTCTTTCCTCACTTTCTGAATTAACCCATCCATGTCTGTTGTCAGTCATTCAAGAGACAGTATATTAAAAATAACTCACTTTGAGAGATCTCAGCTACAAGCTTTTTGTTGAGTTTGACAGCATTAGCTTCATTGGAAATGTCATACCATTACAAACATAAATCTAAACTTTTTGATAGTCTGCCAAAATTCTCATTGTTCACATTAATTTTGTTTTGCACTTTCATTTTACAGACTCCAATGAACCAGGCTTCAACTCGTTCCCACTGCATTTTCACTATTCATTTATCAAGCAAGGAACCAGGATCTGCAACTGTCCGGCATGCTAAACTTCATTTGGTTGACCTGGCTGGTTCAGAGCGAGTTGCGAAGACTGGAGTAGGGGGCCAACTTCTAACAGAGGCCAAGTATATCAACTTGTCCCTACATTACTTAGAACAGGTAAAAATGGGCACAACGGGGTGTAACTGTATCCACCATTTGCTGATAGACTTTGCATCAGGCACTCTGCTAGCATTGTTGTTTTGTTGTTTTCTTCCTTTATTTTGGTAAAATATACATAACATAAACTTCATCATTTTAATCATTTTTAAGTGTACAATTCTGTGTCATTTAGTTCACAGTGTTGTGTAACCATCACTGACATCTATTTCCAGAACTTTTTCGTGACCCCAAACAGAAGCTCTGTACTCATTAAACAATAATTTTCCATTTCCTTATGCTCCCAGTACCTGGTGACCTCTATTCTACTTTCTGTCTCTATGAACTTGCCTGTTCTAGATACTCAAATACGTGGAATCGTACAATATTTGTCCTTTTCAGTCTGGTGTATGTCACTTAGCATAATGTCTTCAAAGTCCATCCATGTTGTAGCATGTATTTGAATTTCATTCCTCTGTAAAGCTGAGTAATGTTTTATTATATGCACGTGCCATGCCCTGTTTATCCATTCATCCATCAATGGATGCTTGGGTTCTTACTCCTTTTGGCTATTGTGAATAATGCTGCTGTGAACAGTGGTATAGCTACTAGCATTTTGTATATACCATTGCATTTAAACCTTCCAACAGCCCTATACTGTTGGTATTAATTATTCCCATCTTAAAGATTTTAAGACTCAGATCTTCCTGAGGCCTTCCCAAGGTTACCAGCTAATGGTGAGATGAGGATTCGAATCTTGAATTGCTTGGCTCCAAAGACCATGTTTTCTCTCACTATACCTTATTGTTTTTGTTTTTGTTTTTGTTTTTTCTCAGTACTGCTTTTTGGCAGCATTAATAATAATTTATTATAGAGGCTGTTAAAACTAATTGTTTTTATTATAAAATTTGTAGTGGGTGTGAGTATAGGTTATAAATGGCCTCCCATGGCCTATCTTTTCAGGCTAGTAGATTAGTTGTGGGAACATAATTTAGAGATGACTGATATCTTTTCAGCTTCTGGTGACTTCATCTAGCTGGTGATTGTGATCCTATGAAGGTTCTCTTTGCTTTAGCTTCTTCCCCTGCCAACCCCTACCCCAAGTTTACTACAATCTATCCCAGTTTATGCTCTATTTTTGATTTCTGAATCTGACTCCAAGTGCAAAGAAAGCTCGTCTGAATTTAGCTAAATAAATATTCCAGAAAAAAAAAATCCTCATCCCTAAAATGAGCATATTGAATTAGATGATTTCTCAAGTTCTTCCAGCTCCATGAGTAAAGTGCTGTGACTTGAATGTTAAAGATGGCAACTGCTTCCAAATTCTAAGAAAAAAAAAAAAGAGAGAAGCATGATCAAAAACTGGAGAAGAGAAGTACAGAGTATATTGGCAAGGCAGAAGGACTTGCTAATGAGTGTTAGAGGCTAAAAGATTTGAAAAAACAAACAGAACTCCCCCCCCTTTTCTTTTACTGCCTAATAAACCCTTTTGAGACTGATACTGTCCTGATGTTAAATGCTTCCTAATGGTCAAGTTGGCTGAGAAAGCAGATTGAGAGAAACCTAAGGGAGCTGTATCTGAACAAGGTGCATGCAGTTAGGCTCTGACTAAATGAACCCCAGTAAGGCAGCACCCAGAGATTAATGGCCTGCATGGTGTTCAGATGATTTAAGTGTTTCTGACAAGACTCAGCCTTCCCTACCTCTTCCTTGCTCAAATATTACATAGTATTTTTGCTTAACAGCTTTTTACTTAATAGAACACTTATAAAACACTGACATGAAAACATAATGGACTATATTCAAAGTGCTTTATTTCAAAGAAATATACCCAGTTGTTTCTGATGGTAGCACTGTCTGCTTTAATCCCCATTGTGCCCATCTGTTCATACAAAATTATATTCATTAGTTAAATCAGAATTTCCACCAATTGTTATCACTCAAGGAAAACCTTCTGCCCCTAATCCTCTCTCTTCATTCTACACAACCTTTGCAAGCTGCTACTTCTCATTAAAGCTCTTTCTTTCCCCACATCTCTTCTCTTCAAAATTCTTATAACATCAGCCTCATGTGAGTAGTCTTGGTGGCTCTATGCATTTGATTTTCTATATAATGAATTTATCTATTTACAAGGAGCAGTAGTGTGCTGAGGACTGCGCTAGGCACTGGAGCATAGTGCTGAACAAGGTAGAAACGGCCCTTGCACCAAAGGTCTCAGGGGCCAGTGCAGGGAGATGCGCATGGAATAAATAGTCATTAAATACTTGGCTGTCCTCCAGGTGAGTTGTTCAGAGAAAGGCCAAGGGGTAAGGAGAGCTTGTAATGGGGGACCAGACTTCGGCTGAGGAGGGCAAAGGGAATGAAAGTTCTCTCAGGGCTGATATTAAACAGAGACTCAAAAAACAAGTAGGAGGGAACCAGGCAGGGCTGGGGTTAGAGCATGTCAGGCAGTGGGAACTGGGAGTCCATTAGTCCTTAGCTCCAGTCCAGGGGGTTCAATTCAGCCAGGGCCACAGCAATACTCACATGTCATTGACCTTTGGCTTTCTGAATGTCAGTTATCTGTTTCATGTGCATCCAACGCATCACTCCAGCTGTTAACTACTTACACTGATCTACAAATGTCTTCCTGGAGGTTATGGCATAAGGTAACAGAGAGGGAAGGAGGGGAAGATTAGCATGAGAGGGAAGAGGGACAGAAATATGGAAAACTGCAGGATATGGACATAGATACGTGGGGTTGAGTAAATCTAGGAGTTGTGGTGAGAGAGGAAGTAGGTGGGTAGTAGAGAAATTTTGGTATTTCACATAGAAAGAGATAAGCGAGAGAGAACCAAGGAGTACAGGGGAAGGAGAATAATAAAAAGAGGGGCAGATACTATTAATGAAATAACGGAATTCAAGGACTTTTATACCCAGGTTTTCTTTATGCAGGACTTGATTATGGAGTTAACGAGACTGGAAGTGTAACACATTTTAGTTTAACTCCATTCATTCATTCATTCATTCATTTCACTCATTCATTCAACAAACTGTGACTAAGTGTCTTTGAAGTGCTATGAGTTATGTTAGACAATGGGAGTAAATACACAATTGAGAAATGGTGCTATCAAGTTATCCAGTGAAGGAGCAAAGCATATAAACAAATCCTTACATATGGTCAGATAAATGCTGTATTAGCAATTCATTAATTCATGTAATTAATTACATCCTCTCCATCTCAGTTGCAATATATAGATGGAGATGTCCTAGGGAATAGAAAATTTGGTAACCTCTCTTACACTTATTAGCCCATGTTGGTTATAGAAATCCCATGCAGAACTGTCACTGCCTTTCTGGCCATCATTGTGGACCTTACACCTGCTCCCGGGGTACAGCCTTTCTGAGTTGAATGCACCTTATTGTGCTTATAAGTAAATAAATTTCTGTTTGTCAGAGTATTGTTGGTTTTGGAATTTTCCTTGTGTATGCAGTACTCTTTCCAAAAAGTCTCCTCGAAAACATTTTAAGCCACAATAAGAGGGTACATCTCAGCCCTAGAAATTAAATCCATGGAAGAAAAGGAGGAGAGCATGCATACTTGTTCTTACCATAAGCCTCACCGAGTGCTCCTGGTGTGACCCTCAGTCTCTGTCAGCCCAAACATCAAGTGAGAAACCACTGGGAACAGAGTGTTTGCTCTCTGCCTCTACAGAAATCAGAATCTGGTTTTCCTTCAGCCAGTTATCCACCATAAGTGGGACTTCTTCAGAGTTTCAGTTTCCACTTGGCTTCCACTGAATGTGTGTGTTCAGGAGAAAAACTAATATTGCCAGTGCCAGTTGTAACCACTCCAAATCACTGTCAGTTTTCAGAGGATAATTTTCCATGTGCTGAGCTCTTTAAAAGAAAGTCTCTTTAATTCATTGAATAGTAATCTGATTGATTTTAAGAATAGTTTCTGGGTACTTGAAGATATTATTAAGTATAATGTGAGTTTCTACTCTTTGTTGCTTAAAGAATGCCTTCAGGAACATTTTTTTTTTTTTTTTTTT